CTCTCTCTCTCTCTCTCTCTCTCTCTCTCTTTCTGGTTGCCGTGCACGGGAGGGCGCCCTCGGTGGATCGCCGGCCGCCACCCGAAGTACCTCGCCGTGGACGTCGTCCAAGGCCGCCAAGGGCACCGAGCCGCTCGCCAGCAGCTCGGCGGGAGACAGCGCCAACGCGCACCAGATAAAATATCGTACGCGAGTCGCGGGGATGGGGCGGAGGGGCCAGGGGCCTGTTGACATCGCTACTTGAAAAAGTGAGGCTGTTCGGGGCGTCTGTGGCAGCGCCCACCGCCGCCGCGTCCCCGTGGTGAGCATTAGGCCCCCACATCAAAGCTGTCGCCGTGTCGCACGACATAGCACAGGAATTTTAAGTTCGAAATTATTTGCCGGAAAATTTCGAAACTTTTCCCGAGAAAAATTTGTAAAATTGAAATATCTTCTGACAAATTTGGAAAAAGTAAAACTTTCCCAATAAAAAGGTCTCTCCTAATTCTTTATCGGAAAATTAAAATCTCTACGACGGCAAGACGAGGTGGTGGAAACTATAGTATAATTCCGCGGTGTGCCGGTGCCACCTATGCTTTCACGTGGTCTTACTCGTGACGGGCCCCCGTCTTCGTGACTTCCTCCTGCTGCGAAGCGGCAGCGGGGGTTGTGCGCCGCCGTCGGGGTAGGCCACCGGTAGGTCCGCGGCGCACGGAGGACGAGCGGGTCTGCCTACGTCACAGGCGCTCGCCGGAGCGGTACGCGACGGACGGATAGACGCAAAGGATACTTCACCCAAAACAGAGAAAAATGTGAGAAAAAAAAAAAAATAAAAATCAGAGAAAAACAGAAGGGAAAAAACAGACAAAATCTGACAAATATCACAAATTTAAGAAAATTGAGGAAAGGCAGAAAATTCCGTTGACGCTTGGTGAAGTTCCCCTCGACACCGTGTCGATTCTGCCCTGGTAGACGCGGTTCAGGCTCGGGGGGTCGGGCGGTTGTTTTAAGGAGATTGGACCCGGCCTGGGTCTGCACGGCCGCGCCCGCCCTTGCTCGGCATCATGGAAGGCCTTTGTTTAGGAACGGGGTCGGAACACCGACAAAAGGTACCCGTCCTCCCGCCCCACCGCACCGCGCCGGGCAGCGTGTCACCGCTACCCCCTCCCGCGCACTGCTCTCCCGTTGCCATAGCCACCCCGGGGATCGATGTAGCCGGGGCCTAAGTGACGTACGGGACGGGCCCCGCAGCTGCCGGCGGCCGCCGCTGCTCCACCTGCACACCTGTCGAGTCCGCTGGGGGAGCCCCCCTCCTCCCTCTTTGCTCGGGGCCGGCTAAGGCCCTTGACACCACCCGCGGGATCTGCGTGGCGAGCTAGAATTCCCACTGTACAATAGTAGTGCGAGCGAGAGTGCGAGCGAGAGTGCGAGCTTATTTTCTATTTTCGTCGTTGCATTCATTTATTTCGTTCGATGAAACTGATTTTCATTCGGCAGCGATGTGAGGAGTTCGAAATGTGTGTGTGGCCTCGTGGGGGTCTCCAAGCGACGCCCCCACCCGGGCCCCCGGCGCTGCCCCTCATGCATTTATGCCATCGCGCTGCTTCCTTTCAGG